CATTTACGAGCACACAACTGAGTTCGAAATCTGCTCACACTTCAATCCCTAATGTTTGCAGCTAAATAATAACTTATTCCTAATGAAAGAAAAGCAAAAAATAATAATGGAAACAGATATCGGTAGTTCAAAGTATTTAAAAATACACACCTCATCTAGTATTTACTTTGCATCTTAATAGAGATAAACATAACAAAGCAGATAAATGCTGAAAATCAAACAAAGAAGAGTGAACGAATGAAATGAATATGTAATGAGAAAAAAAACAATGCAAATAAATAGTGACTGGTACGTATATTTGTAAAGCAAAAGCCAAAAAGTAGAGTCTAGTTACAAGCCGTTTTACTGAGAAATCTGTTAATCACATTAATTTATTGGTAAAGGGTTCCAATCGCACTTCACACACAAATATAAACTTTTGATGTTTCATTGCTCGAATTTTCTCATCTTAATTCCAAATTCTGCCATACTGTTTCTTGCAATATTTGAATTGCAAATTTAGAAATGACTATACTATTACGTTATAATAAAATATGATAAATATGGTTGATAGTGTAAAGAAATTTAATTTGAAAAAATCAAAATACCATTGTATCGGTACATTGCATAGACATTTCAACTGGGAATTAATAATGGATTGCTTCCTGCAACCCCATGCGCTCAGAATCGGTTACTAATGTCGACTCGACGAGCTAATGAATAAAAGATTATTTTGTTCCAGAATTCTATTCTGTTTCTAAATAGAAGGGGCTCCAAAGATATTTCTGCAAATTTAATTCAGGTTCATTTATCTCTATATCAAGTACATATATTTTTTTATTATAAAAAATTCTACCTTATTTGTCTTGTATTTGTGAACACAACACACAAACTATAGTCTAGTAATCCAGACAAGTATTAATAGTTCAATATTCCATTCATGAATAATTGTGTGAAAGGGTTTCCCGACGAAAACTGCGTGGCTGAATTTTTTTGGATTCACCGAAAAACGCTCCAACCGAAGAAAATCGGACTACTGAAAGAGGGAAAATGCTGGATCGCTATGTATTCCAAACTGGATCGATAGCTGGGGCGTTGATATTCCATTCTGAGTAGGTGATTGTTAATGCGCAGTATACAGGGAACAATTTATAAGGATAGAGTAAGATTAAGAAGGAATATTGTTTCCGTGAAATGCCAGAGAAAAAGTTTCCTATGTGGGAGCGATATTAATAACTGGTTATGTCTTTGTAACGCATTGCGAAAATTATTTGATACAGTTTTACGAGTATTTATTATATAATTTGCATAGGTACATTTGCAGATTAAATAAAATTCAAACTAAACATTATAAAAATATAAAAAGAAAATATTCGTCATTCAATATTGAATATGGCTTATAGGTAGGCGCTTACGTAAATTAAATATTTTAGCGTTCAATTTGCAGTAGATGTCGAAATTTGCGGTTGATGATGAAATAAATAAAAGCATTTATATTGCCTGAAGCAATAATTGAAAAAATCTAAAAAACTATTGACTTATATCGAAAAACGAACTTTCAGTGTTAAATGTTTCTTCCCCTGCAAAACGTTCAAAAGTACTTACGGCTTTATTTCAAGCATGGAATAACCGAATAACACTCATTTAATTTCCGGACACTAAAATTTTCACAAGATCAAGTTTTAAGTTGTAAATAATATCTATGAAATCTATTAATTTACATTTTATTTAATATTATAAATTGTAATAATATAAATACATAAACACATGTACAATTGTCTTGTCTGAAACATTTTTTTTTAAATTAGGAATTTTACATTGCAGTAATAGTAGGTAAATGAACGAACTGAAAAAAGAATCGTTGAAAATGATCTATAATTCCAAAGCATCTGATTAAATTTTGAAATAAGCCAATTGGGGCACAATAATAAAAGAATTTTAGGCAAAAATAAAATCTAGGAATAAGCATTTATTCCAAAATCGCCAAGTTTCTCGCAGCGACGTCACTCATTTCAATTATTGTGGATAGATACAAAACTTCTATCTATATATGTATGTTCAGACACATTGGCCTTAACTATTCACTGCAATATTGTTAATTTTTTGTTCAGACGCAATTATGAACTAAATTAAAGCGAAAAGTGAACATCATGAAAAGAATTCAGTTCAGGTTAGAGAAGAATCATACTTCACACTCAATGCTGATTGTAATAACCTAAAATTTAGGTTAAAGTGTACCGTTTTGAACGCTTGTTTGGCTCCAACAGTGAAAACCGAAATAATTAAATAAAGTATTCCTTTATCTGTTTTAATGGAAAGAGTTGACAAACTATTGTCGTCTACTACTAACTATCTGAGCATTATTAAATGTGACACTACCGATAGGTAAGTATAAAATACATTGCTTTTCCAAATGCCAACTAAAATTTGCGAAACTTAATAGCAAAAAAATAAAATACTTAGTGATTTTGTAAACCTGGTGCCGGTCCATGTCTTGCAAAGAAATCATCGCTTTGATACATGTCCCGATATTTCCCCTATATAAACTATGGATTTTAAAACGTATATATCATTCCTAATAACGTATGTACACATATCCACATTTTAAAACATTCTGCAATTTACATCAGTATTCAACGTAAGTTTACAGATCTGCAGAGGTAAAAATATTTGAGAACTTAAATGTATTAGGTTGATTTCCAACCAGTTTCTAAGTTTCAAGTAGACCAAAACACAAATTTTGAAATAGGGACGAACAATTGAAAAATTTAAACATTGATTGACGAGATTTTGTAAATTTGAAACACGATTTCAGTGGATCTCTCAGTGAACATGACACGAAAAGTGAAATTTTACCATCATAAATCTTTTTCGGCAGTTTACACAAATCTAAAATATCTTTAACGATTATTAAAAAAAATCCATTGAGCCAGAAATCTCGTTTTTATCCCCCTGGACAAAGAACCGAAAAACCCACTTGCCAACACTAGTTTTCCAGATAAACCGGAAAATACATATCTTGAAAACTGTGTCAAACTTGAATCAAAGAAGAACTTAATGAAGAAAAGTGCGGATTTTTACAAAGAATGTTTACAATATCTCAAGAATCGTCAGGAATAAATATCACATAAACTAACTTTTAATAGTGTTTTTTGACTTCATCGCAAATAAAACACGAAAATTGGTATCAACTTCATTTTATTAGTCTGAATTGCCGTTTCAACCATCTTCGTAACTTTTGCGGATGCCTTTATCTCCCCATACTGGCCTTTCTTATCTTCGACACGGTGTATCTTCACTTATCATACTAATTTATATGGAATTAATTATTGCCGTTATTAAATCGTCCAGTGACTGTTCGTCTTCAAAATAAGGCAAATATTTTTTTACTGATTTTTTTTTAAACTGCTTTTAGGACACTGCCATTTAAGTGTGCAGTTTACGGTTGTGCAAACGAGTTTACCGATTTTAAAAGTCATCAGTCTGCGACATTCAAATTCCACAATTTCCCCACCTGTGAAAGAACTCGTCGCCAGTGGTTGGACGCGTGCGGCTTGCCGGAGGAAACTGGAATTACAAATGCAAAAATTTGCTCAGATCATTTTACGTTAAATGATTACAGCCGAAAGCTAAAAGAGGAGCTGTTGAATCCTGGATATAAAAGATTGCTAAGTGAGAGTGCAGTACCTTCAGTTAATATCAGGCCTTATTCACCATTTGCACTCAACCAATTACCTACAACACTCTCTGAGAAATTATACCAACCTTCTGCTTCACCACCTGCTGTTAAAGCTCCTGGTATATTATGCAAACATTTTATAGTACATTTGAATTTACTTTAAATTTGTGCTATTTTTTAGGAAACGCACCTAAATCAGAGAGCGATCTACATCGAAAAATTTTCTCGTTACGCAGAGAGGTACTAGATTTACAAAAAAAAAATGCGGATAGTCGAATAGTCATCCACCACAAGAAAGCTAGCTTAGAAGCATCTAGAAAGAAGTTAAAAAAAGTTGCTCAGGAATTAGAAAGTATATTATCACCCAATATTCCAGAGTAAGTATTTCATGTGACTAATGTTCCTTTTTTTCACCAGTTCCTTTTAGAACATTTCTTTCTGAAGCACAGATAAACCTTTTAAAAGGAAAGAAAAAAGTTTTTTGGACTGACGACGATTTAGCCAAGGCTTTTACGTTACGGCATAGAGGAGGCAAAGAATTATATTTGTATTTAAGGCATACTTTAAATTATCCACTACCGGCGTTAAGCTGTGTTCAAGCTTGGGCAGGCAATATTTAAATTGAACCATTCAAACCGCCAAGATGCAAAAAGCAACTCCGTTGTGCAGTGTTATCGGTTGCTCAAATGGAAAAAAAGCAGCTATGGATTATATCACTTTCTATTATTTGCCCAAAGACAAATTCAGAAGAAACACATGGATGCAGGCCTTAAATGGACATATTTTGGATGATACCCCATTATCAAACAGTAAGTTGAACTGAAAAATCTTTAAAATGTATTAGGATAATATTAATTCCAATTAGTTTTTTTTTATTAATTTATATTCATTAACTCTGGTAACTAATTGACATTGTACTTCTCAATTGTTTCAGTTTTGATATGTGCCAATCACTTTGAAAAGAATAATTTTGAAGCAAATCGTTCTTTAAAGAAATCCGTAGTTCCTAGCATTTTTCCTGTGGCGGCAAATAGTGATGAACCTTCCACACAAATGGTGAGAATTTACACCGTTGAACTCCGCGATAATTTTCTGGAAAAACCAGCGCCTCTTCTCAGTAATTCTGTATCTGACCTAAGCAGTATTGATTCGGATCTAAGTAGTTTTGATGGCTCGCCAAGTTCCGATAGTTGCAGGCAGGAATTGTCTCGAAAAAACTGTGATACACAATCAGATGAACTTCGACGCGAATTGAAACGTTTGGAGACCCTTAAAAACCAACTATTTGGTAAGTTGATTCAGTTATTTAAAAATGAGTTTGTTTGAATTGGTGATTTTCAGACGAACAGAAGCAGCTTGCTGAATGCGAGAAGGAACTGACAGGCTCTTTAAGATTAATAGAGAAAGAAATTCAAGATACGGAATTAGAAACCAAATTGCTTGGCGATAAACAACTAGAAATGTTAAGGAAATGTTTGTCTCCAGCTCAAATTAGACATCTGTTCAATAAAGAGAAGGCAAAATGGAGTGTGGATGATACTGCAGTGGCATATACGATATCATGTATGGTGTCGCGCGATTTTTATAGGTACATGCGTGATCAGCTGAAATTTCCTTTGCCAAGTCTTTCTATTATTAACAGACATTACAGAATGTTTCGGCCCAAGAAGACATTAGTCCACCAGCCTAACATAAGCAGCAAATAATGCTTATATCATGTATTTAATTTACACGAATTGCTATTCTGTATTGTAATATTGAGTCGAATTGGGACAAATGAATATTTTAATAAAAGTGTAAAAATAATATATATTTGTCATGACTGATATGTTGATTCACCTATGGGATAAAAAGTTCAATGGTTAACAATTTCACATATAACATATTTTTATAAACGGTTGTTCGAGGTATTAGATTCGATTTGGTTTTCCGAAATCGAAGTTCAGAAGCTTTGAATGGGCTGCAAAAGAAATGCATTTCCAGGGGCAACTTACACTTATTTAGCATAATAAGTTGGTCAAATGGCAAATCAACAACAGAGTATAAAAAAGTGCCTGACAAATAAGGCTTGTAAACTAATCTTATACAGTATATCTAATAATCGTAATTAATGGTAACCCAGTCAAAAACATGTCCAAAGTAACAAATAATAAACAGTAGGTAAGTATAAAAACTTAATAACTAAACTCTGACTTTTCAAAGGCCTTTTTTAACCGCTCTTAAAAATGTATTAACAAATGCACTAAAATATTTATTTGTATGATTAATTATATTATTAACATACATAAAAATATTGCAACATTTGCATTTGATCTTAAATCTAAATCTTAGATTAATTTCACTTGTAACCAACAAGAAACTTTCATTATCACAAAATATGCGTCATGGCATATGTACCTACTGGCTAAGAGTTTGACGCATTTTCAGGCTTTGTTTCTCACATTAGTATAAAAAGTGTCCTTGAAATTATGAGGGCAAGTCAAAGAATGGTCACTTTTTGGTCACATGTTTGTTTTGCTTCTAAGAATAATTAGTAAATATTTTTTGTACTGCTATTACTTTGAATTGAATCGCACCACGTTTTTAAATTTCACAGTAAATCGGGGGTCTAACCGTGTGTGGTTATTTCATTGCTTCAATTGATAAAGGCGATAGGTAGCATATTCATATCGTCCTGTAAGTTAAAAAAATATGTTGGATTCTCCCATGCGTTGTTTTATTACGATGCCTCATGCATTCCTTTTTGCAGATACATTTTGTTTCAGTGCATACTCGTTTCGTGTCGTACGACTTCAAAATGCGTCTGCATGTTACGTGGCTGCTTACCTACTGGAGACTTTGGAAGGCAGTGGTTCAGTAGGAATCGAGGCTGATGAAGTGGATTCGTTATCATAAAATATCATACAAAATAGCGTCCATTCGTAAAGTTGATGTTAAAAACTACATTTTAATAACAATATTCTATAACGTGTTGCAATTGGAGTCAATTTGACCTACCCTTCACGGTAAAAGTTTGAAACTAGAAAAAAAAAGGGTTCGGTTCATATACCATGAAATATTTGGGATAGTATTCCGAATCAAAAAACTTCACGTAAGTATTATTATTATTAGCCAAAATAGTGTCAAAGCCAATTGCTGGTAAGCACATATTTGGCTGACCTTCTTGAACGTTTTGCACCAACACATCCACCACAAACATAGCCCTTAGACGACTGCCATCTTTAGTACTATGTCTAAAGGCTGCGCTGGCTTCAACGGAAAAATAAACTCCTTGTCCATACTTTGTTCTCTGCCCTATAATATTGTGCAAAATTAATAAATTTAATCTAATTGTAAAGACACTACAGTGATTTGGAGAAGATTTGCATAAGTGTTATTGGAAAAAATAGTTAAAAAGCAGTGAAAGCAGTAACTCTAGTTAACCAGCGAGTCTTCAGACGCTCGAGATGAGCGATATCTTAGCAAGTAGTTGAAAAACCTTCTTCTAGTTAAGAGAGAGCTAAGCAGGGCCTTATCAGAAGCCCGTAATGTAATAATTTCTGAACGAACGGTCAAGAGAATGCTTACAAAAGGAAATCAACAGTAAAACACCGGTTTTGGGGCCACTGCTCACCAGAAAACATAGAGTTGCTAGACTGCGTTTTGCTAAGGAACACAGAAATTGGGCCCTCGACGACTGCAAGACAGAGTTTTATTTAATTTTAATTTGTTTCTTCCTGTTTGTGATTCTTTTTTTTTCAGATTAAACCATGATAATGTGTCAACCATTACTAGAAAAGATATTAGAGACCTAGACACTAGAGTAATAATGGGACATTTTTAGGATTTTTTCTTGATGCGTTAAAATCTTCTCCAGAAGTTTATTTAGACGACTATTTTCAAAACTACTGCACTCTATTGGAAATCGAAGCTAAACTTAATTTCTTATAAAAATGATGATAAGTGTTGCGGTAAACGATCGCCAACATTTAAAAACTATTCACTTGGTGGAAAAATTGTATAAATTTATTAGAAGTAAATGAAAAGGCACTTAAAAAGAAAGAAGCTGTGAAAACACTTTCAAAACCTAACAAAAGCTGTTTTTTATTTGTGTGGTCATATTCAGGCAAAAAGGAAAGGTACACAGTTAAAAGCGCAAAACAAACTTTTGGCTATCATTGAAAGTTCTTGAACAGAACAAAACAAAGAGAATTTTAATCGTTGATAGGTAGGTACATACATATTTTTTGTTCATATAAGTAAGTACTCAGGTCCCTTTTTCAAGAGTGTATATATAGTAATATTGACAAAAAAATTAAACAAACAGGAATAAAGGAATAATTTCACAACGATGAGAAATTAAATAAACTCGACAACTGAACAAATCAGTAATTTATGCGAAGTGTGAAAGATAGCAAAAATTCGCACCAATCTGCTGATATCTGTGAGAGAAATTTTTAAGTTTTTATCTATGATTTCTAACTAAAAATATTTATACAATTCAGGTTTTCCCAGCTGAACTTACCCATTCGCCAATCGAAATTGAATTCGATAATTGACTCAGCATTCGCTATCGACGTGTCATGATATAGGGTTTTAATCTCAACAGGGCCTCTCTGGTCATATTCTGACTTTCGTAGCAGAAATTTGCTCCAAAGAAGCGGGTTCTGTATCCGAAAAATTCCAAACTGCCTTCCGTAATATTGCCTTTTGCATAGAAGTTCTATAACTTTCGCAAATTCTTCAGTGTAAGGCATTAATGGTTTCTTCATATATCTATTCAGGCAGAAAATGGAACATTTAAAATCGTTTTTTTTTTCGCCCCTTTTCAACCGAACTAGTACATTTACTCTCATGTGTTAAAGATTTAGTATTTTTATTAAGACCAAATGGCAATAACAACTCGAACCATTTAATTGAGTTTTTGAAATATTATGCTGGTTATTTGGTGAACATGAACTAGTAAAGCCTCGATTTGAGGAAGAGTTCTAGTAAATATTACTCTTTGGTTCTTAGTATTCAGGTATAAATTGAGGTTATTTATAACTACCTGTTAAATGCAGCATTTAAGAGCAAATTTTGAACATACCTATCATCGGTGGTCATGGGGCTCCAGTTGCTGGGCACATTCTTCAAAACTTCACTGTAAAACATGTTAAAACAAACTTGAAAACGTTTGGTTCAATTTAAATGTGAATTTGACAACCGAAATAACCTATCCACAGCTCACCTCTGTGATCTGTGTCTTATACACAGAACACCCCCGTATCTACATATACTTTTTCCCAATAATATTTTATAAATTTCAAAAAGAAAAGTTGGTCATCATTTGATAATTAAGCATGTAAATATTTCAACTGCAATATATATTCGAGCTTCAGTCTATAAAATGGTTGAATGGGCGTGGCACCACCAGATAAGTTGCTTTTATTTAAAATTATCTCAAAATTTTTTCCAGGAGGTAAACAGAACTTTACGAAATATTTTACAGTAATCCAAGAATCCTTAAAAAGGCTTATTTCTTTTGATTTTGTTGTAAATAAAAGAAACTATAAATCGTCTAGAATTTATTTCTGTAATACTTGTAAAGATGAATTTCTCACCAATTGAATACATTTAAATAATCAAAAACGAACTGTTTTTAAACCAGGAATGTAGACTATTTACACTATAACAATACTTTGAATCCATGAAGCTCGTGTTTATGGACAGTTTAATCTAAGCCATATCATCTGGATTGAACATGCCCTAAAACCGAAAATAAATGTTAAGCAATAAACCAACCAAATTAAGTGGCTAAAAATGTAACTTTTGCAAGCTGGATTAGAAAATGTACATACCCTGGCTCGTCTCAATATTGAGTCCTTTGCCGAATCATATGGATGATCTTTAGAAGGTATTTCCAAGATTGCAGGCAGTGGGCTGCTGTGACTATCAACTACATGTCTTATGATTTCGGCGATGTTCTGGTTGATCAAAATGATATCGATATCATCTCGTTTCAGGAAACGTTTGAAACAGTCCTCTATTTCACTGATTGCAGTGTCTATTAGAGAAAAAGGACATGGTGTTATTAGCTTCAACCCAAAAGAAAGTTACTACATTTTGCCTTTCGCTGCTCAATAAATGGAACAAATAATAAGGATAATGAACCAACTTACTCTTATCCACAACCATAAAATTGGGGTGCCTGTTTTTGTTCATTTCACCCACACCGCCCAGTAAAAATCCAACACAGGTGTCCTAAATGTCCAAACGAAAATGTAACGGCTTATTAGATACTAGTCAGATTTATGTTACCTCGTCGCCAATAACAGAAATCAATTTTCCTTTAACTGCACTGTGAAGAGCCATTTTTAGCTGTTTTTAAATGAGAACTTTTTTTATTTAATTATTGTCACCTGACAAGATCAGCTGACTGTGTGTTGACAGAAATCACGTAAAGGGTGTTACTCGCAGTTCCACCAATAGTATTAATGTACACATTTTCCAAATAATTGTGTTTCCTGCCCTGAGTTTTGGCCTTAATTTTTACGGCATAACCTATGATTTTCACGTGTTTGAGTATATTGTTTATACGATTGTTAATTAGAAGGTAAATATAAATAAGTACATATAAATTTACTGTAGACCGATACATATTGGCCGAAAGAAAGGGTACGAAGTGTATTGTAGTTAGAAGCTTTAACGTTTTTGTTTAAAAAGGCAATAAATATTTATTTTTTCAATTAATTTTATCAATAAATCAAACACAGTACTACTTGCTATATATAGGGGCTCAAAACACGGGGACCAATTATAAAGAGAGAGTCTGAATTACTCTATAA